AATACTAAAGAAATCTACACTTCCTCAAACATGTTTTATTCATTGCCAAAAAGAAAGAAGAAAAACCAAAGAAATGTTTGTTCGTAATTCTCAATAGTTGTGTTTGACTATAAGTTAATTTTCACGAATTCGACAGTTGAACATGAACGTTTTATTACAAAATATAGCCATATGTCCCTGTGTTTGTTTAGGGAAGTGTTCTAGTGAACAGATTTTATTTTGTTCGGAAATGTGTAAAGTAAACTTGCCTTGAAAAGAATTTGCTCTGACTTTCATTGTATTCACTCGCACGTGTCATCATCACTTGACACAATACCGCACTTTACGTGAATAATTCACTTCCCTGTGAGTGGATAATTCACTTATTTACCTGGCGTGTTTTGTCGGCTTTTCGTGCTAATTCACTGACAATTTTTAGGAGAAATAGCTATGAGAGTTAACGCGTCGCGGGTAAGACGGAGACCTTCGTTAAAAGCCAGCGACCAGGATGTTTATGGTGTCAATGATTAAAGGGGCACAATATGAGGTCAAACAACAAAGCCCAACAAGAATGAACACAAGAATTGGAGATCAATGATTAGATTAAAGAAACAAGAGAACATAAGATCTGCACAAAAGGATTTAACAGGCAAAGCACCGGCCAGAGGACGATTGCTAAAACTAAGGATTTACACACAATGGAGGGAAGCGAGAGATGATAGCCATGACAGAATGGATGGAAACAATCGAAAAAAAAAAACTATTTCAAAGCCTCCAATAAAAATTAAAAAAGTTCAATTTAAAAGTAAAACCTTCGTTTGCCAACTACAGTTTGGTGGGGCAATGTCCTTTCTACTAAGCACAAACAATGCTCGCAACTCTGGTAATTTTTTTTTTCGTAAATTTGCACTGCCTCTTTGAAGATGCGATTCTACTTTGCCAATAGATACGTGCTATGATGTAGCTTTAAAAGCTCTTCTGCACAATGGATAATAATATAAGCAAGCAAGCAAAAGCAAAATAAGATAGAATACTCCAGACACACTCAGACGTTATCTTATTTCCCCTATTCCGAGAAAGGAATTCAGTGTTCTACGAATTTTCTCCTTTCATTCGTTAAGACATTGACAAAAAAAATAAGTTAAACGCGCGTGTTCAGAACTATTGTTCTAAACGTTCTAATTAACGGCCGAGGTAGATAATTTTTTTTCCTTTTTTTAAAGAAAAAATTCCTTCCTAGCGTAGCTTAGAGATTTGAATACCTTTTTGTCTCTTTCTCCAAACCAGATCGAGTCAGCTTTCGTTACAGTCTTTACTTTATTCTTTTGAGTTTCGATAATTACTGTTTTTTCTCTCTGTAACAGAGGTATCATTTTGAAACGATGGACCAAAGAAGGGGGAAAAAAAGGCACAAAAAAAATGATCATGTAAAAAGATTTTTTTATATATATTTTCCCACGGCGACGCGGTAAATTGTTGCCCCTTCTTTAAAGTATTAAGGTTTAAAAACAACCGTCGCAAACGCAATAAGATGCAGTGTATCAAGTTACACCAAGAACTTCATTTCGAAAAAAAAAACGAAATTTGTCGGTTTTGCTCTCTCCAGTATTATACATAGCAAAGCTTTTGACTGAAGAGGAAACATTCCTTCCAGTGTAACGTGAAACTCGCTGATATACTAAAGTCAGCAGGAAGCCAAAGGCAAAACTCCACCAGAAATTTATTATTATTTTTTTTACTAGATCACTTTCTCTTTAGCGCAAAATTAGAGTAGACGACAGAATGATAATTCTAAAACCCCACATAATGTATGTGCCCTATTTGATTCCGAATCTTTCAGGACGCGCAAATGGTCCACTCAAGTATCCTTAGTTCAACGTCTCTCTTCGTTACTAATTCAACGACATAATTTCCTTGGCGGAACCGCGGAACAAGTTTGCTTTTGTGCCACGCGCTCTAAGAAAAAGGCTTAAACAGTACCACACACGTGACCTCTGCACATTCAAAACAATAACAAATACAGAAGCCACAAAACCCAACTATACTTGAACATGATTCGAACAAAGCTCGAGCGTAACACACGTGTTACAAGTCAAACGCAACAATTAAAACATATGTTAATCCTTGTATTCAACGATTTTGTTCTTCACTGCCGTGATTGGTCGCGTTAATCACGAGGTGTAAACAAGACCTTTAAATTACGGAATCGAAGAGAGAATCATTGTTTAAGGTTTCGCGGTGCTAAGCGCTTGGCTTTCGCCCGTAATTGATAGTGAAAGTTGATGTAAGGGCCCATTACAAACTTGAGTGATCTGGGGGATCAACATCTGTCAGTCATTGTCTGCGATATACACTGTAATGGTTTCACATCGCGAGCGAATGGTTAAAAATTGTGAATACACTACAGGTAGTGGAAAGTTTCACCGTCCGTGCGGCACGCTTCGCGACCGATTCACTCGCCCAATATGTGGTCGATACCTGCTAAACCATCTGATATTTGCACGCAGGAAAAGCTCTAGAAAAGCACACTCTCCGTGTTTCACATAACAACCAACTTCACTCAATCATGCTCTATCTTGTATCATTACATTCATTTTAATTTGGGAACTCGTCCACTTCGCTAGTATGAACGCTTTTTTTCACGAGTCGAACAGACCACCGTGGCGGACCAATATAAGAAAATCAAATTATAAACAAAGCCACGAGCCGCACTTAGCTCCCTTCAAATATTTACTCACTTAATTAAGTTAAAAACGTGTAAAATAAGACGGCGACATGTCTTTTTTTTACGCCAAGTGCATATGTGTGAAATTAAACTGAAACCACAAAGAGTCACCAACGTTATGATGTTTATGTCTAGGATATTTCAGTTTTTTTTTTTCTTTTTTTTTTTCTTTTCGTGAGTTCAAACAAGCGCGACTAGTTTAAGAACACAATGCAAAACAGTTTTGCTCTAAGTTGTTGTCTACATTACAATTCGTCCTTCCCAGGAATTTATTTTTCAGCTAGACAGTATTTTCTCAGTGACGACAACATTCAACTTCCCAAGCTTAGTCCGCATTCAGAGAGCGCAGAGATTCTTTACTTGTTATGGCGCCAAATGAAAAATGCCTCAGGAAACAACTAGAAAGACTCCAGGCGAACACAGAAACGCGCGTTTTTGTTTTTTTCGCAGTTGGATGCCACTTATTTCCGATGTTCTTCAATGGTCAATCGCGTGACAAAAGAGCTTTGTTTCAGTCACTGTCGCTGCCTAGTCGGTTATGAAAACAAGACGGAAAAATCATAAGAGAGCTGTGGCTGCACATAACGAGTGTATCTTGAGTCGGAAAAGCTTTACATGATCAAGGAATGAAAAAATTATGAGGATGTCAAAGTAGACAAGTGGCACCGAAGGATATAACGACCCGACTAATAGCGCCGTCACTCAGCAACTCAAATGTCGAACAGCTTAATTACATTCAGTGGACGTAATTTAGAACAGTACGCCCCGGGGAAAGATTCATTAAAACCACTTGAATGATACACCAACAAACGAAATAAACGGTACATGAAATGTTATGTTAAAGCAACACGAGAGATCTAACTTGCATTTCTTAGTAAACTATATAATTTGTCAAAATTTGTAACAAGTTTATACAGGAAAGTGAGTTTGTTTTTCTATGTTCACATATTATGATGTACAACTCGTAGAGTTTGTTTTCCAGCTGTACTTCCGCATAGCTGTTAGTCTCCTCGCCGTTTTTGAATATTGTCTTTGATTCTCCTTGAGAGAATCGAATATACTTAAAAAAAAAACCCACATTTTTCTTCACGGTACGTCACGGACCTTCTGGCCCAATGTGTTACGGAAAGGTGCTGGGAACTGTAAGAATTAGTTACTTCTGGGAGTAACCAATTCTTCTCAATAAATCTCGATAATGGATTGAATCAAAACACGAGATCTCCACAGCTTATGCTGCATGTTTTCAAAACAATATTCTAAATGTGAATAAGTACTGCACGCGATCAGAGTACCTTTGCGTTGTAGGGGGCAGGTACAAAAGGCAACATTAAAGTAACCCAGAGCACCATTTGGGTAGTTATTCAAAACCTTTTTTGTATTTGCGGCACACTTGTATAGAAATCTATGAAAGAAAGCTCCAAAGGAAAAATTGTATTCCGGGAAAAACAAAGCGAGAGAGTCGCGCTACTGACAGCTACAAAGGAGCACTGGTTCTCGTCCGAACACCAAAAATAAGCTCTCCAAGGCAGGGTTATACTCCAATGGCTGATTAAATAATTCCAAACTGCTCTTCTTCAGCTCAAATCTCAAACTCAGACTTTGCTTTACGACTCGTTAATATCTAGTGTTTAGAAACGGGCAATATAATTTTTACTCAGTACATTGTAAACCTATACATGTAGACTTTCGTTTATCAAGCCTCGATATTACGCTGCTTGCAGCCACCCGTGACTCAAGCAAGACATACAACAGTTTCTTTTACCGCATTTTAGTTCGCTTCCAATCAAAATGCAATTATTCTAAAAACCAAACTAATATTGTTCACATACACACCATGTAACGTAGACTATGAGAAGATCATTGTGCAAGAAAGGGAAACCACCCATTTATGACAGAGAAAAATTAAAGAACATTGTTGCAACTTATGAAGACATCAATGATCATCGCAGTTAAATACACAACTTAAGCAGCTGTGAAATTAAAGCCCGCGATGCGAAGATCAATCATGTCTTTATATCTTTCTCCGCAGTTCATATATATGATCTTTAATATATTCACTTGCATTGTTGCAGCTTCTATAAAATAGCCAATAATTTTTACGCCCCCCGGTGGGCGTATGATCTTGAGTCATACATGTAAGTTGATAGAAAAGTAAGCGAGAGACGTTTTAATGAGGTTACGACCTACATTGTAAACTAAAAACTTCTTATAAAGGAGCAGAAAAATACATTCGTATATTTCTTACTCGTCAAGTTTACGTTGTTTTTCCAACGGGCATTAAAACACATCAAACATCAAAGTGAAACCCTGCCGTACCGCAAATTGTTTTACCAAGATAAAATACACCCTGTAGTTTTTTTTTATATACATGTGAGGAGAATGTTTCCGTCCAAAAAATGCTTCTTTTTTTTTTTCTTGTCTGCACTCTTCGTAGTCAGTGACCAGCCCCAAACTCCACCGACCAATGTTCATCTAGTCCAGCTCCTTTCGATCCCAAATAGCAGAGCAGAGACTGGGCCACAGCTTGGATGCAAGACGATCACACGGTTCCGTTCTCTTCGGATCAATGCCATTCAGGGCTGGCCAAGGACTGATAAGATACCTCATGAATGAGTTCTTGAAGTGCCTCTTGCCGTCAAAACCAGCGAAGTGGCTCGGGTTCTTCTGGAGGGGTATCTGCCTCTTTCTGGGCAGATTCCTGGGCCTTTACGTCTTGATTTGGAAATAAATCGGGAAACTTGAAGGTACCGGCAGCCTGGAGAAGGAATGATAACATTTCTACGTGAAAAGACAAAGGTTAAACTGCAGCAGAGCTCCAAGAGAAAAGTGTGAAGTGTGAAGTGACAAGTGTCAAACTTCAAATCTCCATTACCAGCCTAACATTCAGGTTTGTCGGCTTGCAGTATATCGAGCAAAACACTCTCAAAGAGCTTGCATATAACAAACTGAAGGAACACAAGTTATAACTGAGTATTTTTAGAACTGACTGTTAGATTTGTTTGCAGAGGAGTAACCAAGGTACATGTATACCAGTACTGTACATACCAGCGTTACATATGCCACTTTATAATCTGGGAATTTTTTCTTCATAAGCTTGTCTTTCTTCATAAGATACTTTGTTTTACCTGAAGGACAAAACAGCAGGTCAAAGAAAAAAAACTACTTTCTGGTTGCTTTATGCCACAATTGACAAATTGGTTTAAAATAATCTAATGAAAATTCTGTTCTGTACTTGACATTTCAGTCAATTGTCATTATTGAACGCGAAAGAAAACTGTAAAAAAATGCCTTGGCCTCTCCTACTTTTTACATCATTTATTTGCATTTCTTGTTGNATTTTGACTTTGTTTGTCCACATTTTCATTGAGTATTTTTGACTTTGCTTGCCTACATTTTCATTATAATTAATTCAAAGAAGCAAATTTTTCATTGACAATTTTAGAAACCATTATCAAGCATTTTCGTTTAACCATTGCTCAACTGACTGTGGCATGTTGGGATCCTAATGACCTTTGTTTTCCTTCACCTTGCATTGTTAGAACTTTGTAGTCAATCACAAATATAACATGTTTTAGCGCCCAAGTTGTTGTCATCATGTTATAAAAGAATTGGCTCATGCTTTTAGCTGTGCGTAGTATATCGAGTTAAGGATACACTTGGGAAGTTTGGAGAGAACTCAAGAAGCTAGAGTTGCTCACGGCTATCGCCCTGAGCAACTCTTACCCTTCTTTCATGCTCTCTAAACTTCCTACATGCATCCATAACTTGATATACGCATGCTATGCATGACCCAATTCTTTAGTATCTAACCATATTATAATAGCCCAAGATGGTGAGATAATTTTAAATGAGCTCTACACTTGCCTCATGTAAACCAACGTCACTTGAAAACAGAGTTGAACATATCATATTTGAGACCATCGAGATGCAGACAAAAATAGATTATAAAGCTGTCAGAAATATGTCTGAACACTCAAGAGTATTAAAGAATATCCAAAGGAGAAAGTGATTAGCACCCAATACCATTAGATCAACCCATGGTGAAAAATGCATATTTTTTACCACAGCATGGAAAGTTTTAATCTATTTATGGACTGTCTCCATAAAGTGAACAGACTAAACTGATTAAGAAACTTGATTGGTTATAACAATTCCCTTTCTCACAACGTATTGTGAAACAGTTGTTTGTCACCAGCCTGACAGTCTTCAACTTAAAAGTATTACATTTTGTTCTTCTTTCAAGTATCACAGGGTGCATCCCCGGGGTGCATCCTACAGTGCCAAGAATACTCTATAATAAGTAACACCAGCAGTACAAAATGATGATAAGAGACCACCCCTGCGATCCTGTAATGCATTGTTTTGTTAGAAATAGGGGGAAAACAATGGTCAGCAGTTGTACTTAGTGCACAAACAATAATTTGGTCTCTTGATTTGCATTTATACGGCATTTACTATGGATAAAACATAGACATACTTATAATTTCTCGATTAACATACTTAGCAAAGCTGTAGTTACATTATTTCCTTACAGAATAAGTTAATGTAGAAATTAGAAAATGTAGAATTACTGTAGAAAATCATTTTCAGGCTATGAGCAGAAATTTGCAGAAATCAGCTTGTCTCTCCGACACCTGTCAGTAATAGAGTTTAAAGGATAAAAACGTCTTTCTACTTACTCCATAGGAACATGTAACTGAACCACGTTATCTGGTTGTTCTTTTCCCGGTCTAACAACCTTCATATACCAATTACAAAGGAATATTCGAGCTTGCAGTCTCGGATTTCTAACCACATGTCGGTACGCCATCTTGAATGAGCAACTATACAAGGAGGTCTGGAACTGAGTTTACAAAAATGGAACCAGAGAGGGGAGGGTACAGGTCTTCGTTCCCAGATTCTCATCAGAAGATGGATACGTCTCTACTCTAAACGCACGTGGGTACGTACTTCGCGAAGTCCAGGGGTACTTACCATTTACATGGGAAAACCGGAAATTCCAGTTGGAAAATCAAATGGTTCGCGCCATTCCATTTGGGAAGCTTCAGAAATTATGGGC